TCGGTCTCCACCCGAGGGTCGGGACCCGGAGGCCCGGCCGCGGGGAAGCCGAGGTTCCTGGTGGCTCAGGGGCGCAGTAGCGCCCCAGCTCGGGCTGGTGGTTCCCGGCTCCCACTGGAGTCCCCCGGGGAGCTCCGCGGGCGTCGGCGCCTGTTCCCGCCCCTGGTGACTCCCTCGGGCGGCCAAGGCGGACCCTGGCCCAGGTCCAGGCGCAGCGCCGCCGCAGGTGTCCGGCAGGGGCTGTGTCCTAGGACTCAACCGGACGCCGGCCCGAGCCACGCCCGCAGCCCTCAGTGCCCAGGACATGCTCCCACCCATGGGCGCTGTGAGCCCCCGGCCAGGACACTGGGCAGACTTTTAAAGTGATTTTTTTTTTTAATCCTCACTGGAGGACATTTTTCCATTGCTTTTCAGAGAGTGGAGGGGGAGAGGGAAACATCGGGTGGGAGAGACACGTTGGCTGGTTGAGACTGTGCCCTTGGCCAAAATCGAACCCGGGACCCTCCAGTCCACAGGCCAACACTAACCACTGAGCCAAACGGGCCAGGGCAGATTTTTAAAGTTTTATTGGGAGCTGCACACATGCCTAAAGTGGAATCAATAAGTTCTAAAGTAACAGTTTATTGAGCAGTTACAAAGGAATGGACAATTTAGTTGGTAACAGTGATATGCAAGCTGTCGGAATAAAAGCCATTTGATATCACACGTGAATTGGCTCCTCCAGGGAAACGGAGGTATTTCCTTCTAAGGAACAGAAGTCAATTCGAGCCTCCCAAAGGCGGTCCCGCACCTCAGAGACAGGTCCTCAGTGAACCGGCGTGAGGGCCTCATACAGCCTCTGTGCAGCCAGTTCCACCATCTCTCGGAGAGACTCGTCATCTTCGCTGCCCTCCTCGCACTCCACAGTCTGCAGGAGAAACGCTGTTACGTGGGAGACAGACTAATAGGAACACGCACCCTGGGGGAGGCCCGCAGCCCTGCACACTCGGTCCTGCGCCGCACGCCTGTGGGCACGCATGTAGACGCAGGGCGGACTCCTCACCCCACAATGAATGGGTCTAATTAGAGATTAATTTTGGAAAAAATAAATGGGAAGTCTAGTGAACTATATTTACTTCAAAACCCGTATTTTGACCCATGAATTCAGTCTACACAACACAGGTTCCTTAGCGAGCTGTGGCTGTGGCCATCCACCCAACATTCAGCATCACATCTGACTTAGACTCATTATCTTCCAGTTACTGCTCAACTGTAAAATACTCTGTGCTGGTTAAGTATTTTTATCCTACCGTAAACATTCCTCATACGAAAACTGAGGAAAGACAAATACCCTTAATCCTATGACCTGATGATGACTGCTAACATTTTAGTGTGTAACTTTCTAGACATCTAGCTGCACACAGATTTCTTTAGAACAAAAACAGGAAAGCTTACGGGACTTGCTGCCGTGTAACTCTGTTCCCCATCAACACTGGGTCGACCTCGACGGCTGCACACTTAGGATTCCAGGTGCGAGGGTGCACCCCACACATTACTTGTTTGCTGTACTTACTATCACCTGCTCTCGGATATTTAGGTCTCTTCCCATTTTGTTCATGTTATAACTGATGCTGAAACAGACATTCTTGTATGTATATCTGCTCACCTGTCTATTTATTCTGTTAAACCCAGGAAGTGGAGATGCAGATGCCGGTATTTACATTTTTGAGGATTCTGATGCTTATCCAACGGCCTTGTGAGAAAGAATGAACCTCTGGCCCACCCCAAACAGCACCTGTGAATAACACGTTTCCCTCTCTCACCACCAGTGTCCACAGCACTCTCTAATTTGTGCCACCGGATAGGCAGACAGAGTGGTATCTCATGCTTTGTATTTGTAGTTCCCCTAATTACAAGTGGACCTGACATCAGTGTCCTATGGTCACTGCCTGTCTCTAGTTCTCTACTGGCTCTCTTATGTTCTTAGCTTACTTTCCTGTTGAGGTAAAATAAATATAGTGTTTTCTCAAAGCACCTAACTAGTCAAGAACATACAAAAGAGATCGAAAACATATTTGTTCAGCATCACTGTTGTAACCTTCAACAACGCTACCGGGAAATACAATTCTTCACATGTGCATGTGACAGAATCACACAAGATCTGGTGTGAGACCAGGGCAGGCGCCACATGCTCGAAGCTAGTGTCTGGAAGAGCCACCTGGAGCCCCTGGTACAAATGGAAGGGCAGCTCCTATGGAAAACCTGGAGCCAAGTGGAGAAACGAGCAATGCTGGGTGGGCGCGGGTGTGCCACGGAAAGGCAAAGTGGGGAGCCTGCCCCGGGGACGCACCAGGAAAACACCAAGACAGAGAGAAGAGGCAGGAGCGTAGACTCCATGCAGCGGGGCAGCAGCGGGCTTACAGTTGTTCACATGGAAATAATGCAATAATTAAATGGAAACACACAAGAATGAACTGTGTTGTGTATTCACAACTGTAAACCTACTTTTGCCCACCCTGTATAATCTAAAAACTTGTAAAAATGAAACCACAGGAGAAAACTGGAAGGAAATGCCAAGAAGCACAGATACCTTGCGAGGCGTGGCTGAAAATAAAAAGTCACAGGTTGTTCCTGCCTCGCTTCATCCCTGTCTGAAGCGCAGGGGTAGCACTCACCCGTGTCTCCAAGTTCACGTTAGCGGTCCTCCCGTCCACTGTGACACTGAGGACAGCACCGTCTTTTACGCTCACACAGTCTTCGCCAAATATGTCCCTTAACATAAACAAAGACCCAACGTTAGTGGAAATGCACTTATAAATATGTGAAGCAGTTTTATATACTTGGGGTGAAAATAAAACTGAAGCTAGGCCCTAGTTTTAAGTAGAATACTTTCATTAATCCTGAGATCTGTACTTTATTAGTTTTTAAAAACAGGTAAAATGCACAGCTACCATTTCTGGAGAATGCTCTGTTCAGCAAGCGCTGCATGAGGCACTTTATATGCACGACCTGGACCTGAACTAACTGGTGAGGAGGCCCCTTCCCTCCGGAGGAAAACAAGATGCAGAGCCTGGCTCCTGACTCATTCCTGCTGCTAATGCCTCAGGGGT